GTTCTGTCCCCTTCCCTTTTCTCCACTTCTTTACCTCAACCTCCTTTTTGTATATTATATCAGATTATTATCAACTGTCACTTCATTCGCTGAATTTAGGGAACTGTCAGCTTTAGAGAGAAGGAGAAGGGATTTCTCTTTTTATTTTTTATTTCACCTTGTAACGGATCACCTGGCACCCTGACTGGATACCTCCATTGAAGGATGTTCCTAGCGCTTCCTGGGGACTCCAAGCACTGCAGCAGACACCACAACCACCGAACCGGAGAAGCATACAAATGCTCTCAAGCAAATGAATGCTGGAAGCAGCTGAACAATAAAAGCATACAATCAGCTTACACTCCTGGCAATCAGCATACAATCCAATTCCCCCAATAACGAGACAACACTTAGTTTTGAGGTCAAGCAGAACTGACTGTACTGGCACATACAGCCTCTTTTATTCCCAATCCACAAATTTAGGGTTAAGGTTTTTGCCCACAGGGTTTTAAATCAGACAAATCCATCCAGTATTTAAAAAGTTAGCTGGGAGTCCTTTATTACCGACCGCAAGCACATTTTTCCTGCTCAAAACAGTTCCATAGATTTGGGCTGTGCGGTCAGTCTATTTTACACAGAAAAATGACTAAGTCCCATTCGAATGCACGAACGGGGCCGTTCGTGCATTTAGCTTAGTATAGCAGTGCGTTCAAACTGCCGAACGGGACTTAGTCTCTGCAGCTTAAAACTGAATGTAGGAGAAGGTAAGGGTCAGCGGGGTTCATTGAAATGTGTAGCCGATTTCAGTTCCATGGATTTGGCTACACATACCGCTGACCTCGTTCGAATGAACAAAGATGGCTGCCACCACGTGTTCGTTTGTCGAATGGCGGCCACTTCGACTACTTTGGCACTTTGGCTGCATCCGAAGTGCCAATTTAAAGCTGCAGAACTGCTCCAATACAATTTAAAGGGGCAGCAAGTCTTTTAAAATCCAATCTGCTAAAATAGTCTATAACAGGCAATATCTTCCAAGGGCCATAGTCTTAAAGGGGCATTGTTCCCAAAAGTCACAGTATGTCCCCAGATGGTTCTTAAAGGGCCAGCAGCAGCATAATAAAATACAATATGCCCAAATACTGTATTTAAAGGGCCAAATCTCCCAGGGGCCATAGTCAGCAGGCAGGAGGCGGGCAAACAGGCTTCTCCAATGCCCAGTGGCGAGGTTGGTTTCACCACACACCTCTTTCCCTTTCTCCTTTTATCTTCTTTCTATTCACTTCTTCTGTTGTTTTTACTCCTCACCCTTTTTTTACTCCCTTTTCTTTTCTTCTCTTTCC